TATATATATATTGTTCCTTTGCAGTATTATTTTAGATTCTCTCTCATGTTTGCCTTCCTGGCAAAAAATTCCTCATGTTAAAAACTTAAAAGTAGCTTAGGACGTAAATTAAGATTAACAGCTAACAACAGGAACGCATGAAGTTAACAACTCTACTTGGTATATACTTTGACCTGAACCTTATCTTACACATGACTGATCTCTACCTCATTTTTTCCTTACCGGTGCTTATATGCAAGGTGTTCCAGGGGTATTTATGTGAATTATCATTAGAAACTTGCAGTCAAACTTGAGAAATTAAGAGAGGTGAATGAAATTGAGGTGCTTCTGGAAATGTTTGTTTGGTGGCGTAGTTAGTTTGTAATGTATGTTATCATGAAACTTGTATATGCCATCCTTGCTTTTCTTTGATATTCCCTTTTTGTGATACATGTACTGATTTCGTGGAATGATAGTAGCGACATGAGCTAAGTGCGACTGATCCAACATCAGGGAACAGTTTTCTAGAGAAAAAACTGAAAATCAGATATACTGGTCATGATCTTTTGGAACTTCAGTTATACTGCAAGTTTTTGGTGCTTTCTTCCATTAGAATATTTGAGATCCAAATTGCATTCAATAACCAATGTATGTAGTGTCTACATTGCTGCTAATAGCATAATTACTTTGGCACTCTACTAATGATTGAAACGTTATCCAATGAGAAATGTGATTTATTATCTACGATCCTCTGGCTTTGAGTTCTTCTTTTATGCAAGTAATCCAACTTGAGTATTTTGTCATCTCTATAATTTGGTTTCCGAGGCATGTTTTCTGACCATGTTTATGCAATTACAGAATGATAATCTGATAACGGCTGTTCTAACGGGGCCAGGTATTGTCTTCATCCAAAGCATGCCTTTTCATAGGCTTTCTCAACGCATTGCTAGGTAAATCTCCAAGCAGCACCAGCAAGTGGAACTAGTTGAATTAATGGACAGCCTTCCTTTCGGTTAAACTCTAGCCTTGAAGAAAACTGATCAGTTGTTTTGTTTCTCTGTTGTAGGGCGGTAACATCTCCAAACATGAGGGACAATCCCAAATTCTTCCTTCAGATAGCAATATTTTTCTTTATAGCATATGTTTTCATTGTATCATCTTTAATCTTAACTTATGTTTGAGCCTTCTTATTTCCTTTTTGTTTCTGTCAATATTCTATATCGTTCTTTGTCACCTTTATTTTCTTTTGGGTTGACTAGCATTTAAATCTTAGTTGCAAATATAGAGTAAATATAAGCAGGGATTTTAGCGTGGCAATGATGGAGTCATGTATGAGGTTGGAATTGTAAATCAATTGACGTTGCTAACTTGTACAGTATCTTCATCAAAATTTCACATCATAGCAGTGGCTTTTCTTGTCTTAGAACTGCTTGGTTTGTCCCTGTATTAAATTCAGCATGTTATGGATCATTGAAGAAGGTTCAATATACTTGATATCTTTGCTAATTGCTACAAGTGAAACGCCGAGAAAAGAGGAATCTATTATTTTTTGTAAAAATTAACAAACTTCACATGAAAAACAAAAATGGAGTTTATAATCACTAAATTTCAACAATTTCAAACTTTTAGTAGCTTAAGCAATTAAATGAGAGGTGGACCTGGCATATTACATGTTTGTTCCTGCACAATAAATAAGTTTTAATCAGCCAAAGAAAGAAATATACTGCATATACAACTTCAACACTATTGCCACTTGCCAGCCACAAGGTTCATGATTCGGTTTGGATCATTCTTTTTAGGAGAAAGAAAAAAATACTGCATATACAACTTCAATACTATTGCCAGCCGATGGACCAAAAGCATTTAGTGCCTCCCAATGTCTATACTAGTGTTTTGTTATGCTACCATTGCTAGGGTGTTTATTTGGTTTTAGAAAAATTTATCCAACAACGCTATTCAAACAAGACTTTGAAATATTTGGCTACCTATATTGGTTTATTGAAACATGAGTTCTTGTGATAAAATACTCTTATGTCCTACTACTTTTAACGAGTTAATTTTATCTATAGTCATTGAACTTTTGTGTTTGTTACCCAAAAGTTACTTTTTTTTTTGTTACGTAAAAATCATTTAACTTTGTGTTCATTACACAAAAGTCACTTTTCTTTCTTTTGTTACACAAAAATCATTTTACTTTGCTCTAGTTATCACAAAAGTCACATTTTTACTTGAAAAGTCTATTATGCTCTTGATATTATATAAACCTTCATATTTATGTAATACCTTCTATATTATATAATATATTTTTACCTATGTATTTTATTTATAAATAAAATAACTTAATATTATTTTATTTATTATTTTTATAATATATATTTTAGACAAGGTGGGTTGCTCTGGTGGTAAGCACCCTCCACTTCCAACCAAGAGGTTGTGAGTTCGAGTCACCCCAAGAGCAAGGTGGGGAATTCTTGGAGGGAAGGATGCCGGGGGTCTATTGGAAACAACCTCTCTACCCCAGGGTAGAGGTAAGGTCTGCGTACACACTACCCTCCCCAGACCCCACTAGTGGGATTATACTGGTTTGTTGTTGTTGTTGTTGTTGTTGTTGTTGTTGTATATTCGAATATTAATTTTTTCTTAATGTTAATTTTTAAGATATATTAGTAGCGTTAAAATAACTTTTTTCAGCAATTCTTTTTTTTTGAATTTAATTGACCGATCAAAGTTGATCGGTATGCCCTTCCGGCCTTCAAAATACCGACCACACGTTAATGGTCGCGTTTTGGATGGTTATTGGCCATTACTGACCAACTTTGGTTGATTTTTTTGGACGATTTTTCCTGAATTTCTAGTAGTGTAATTTCTCAAATAACCAATTGCCCAGGTAAATCCCCATGAAAATATCCCCAGCTAAATTTGCATGTAGAGTTACCTAGGGATTTTCCTTCAGATTAATATATGATTTTTTCCTCATTTTCTTTCTTTGTTTACCTACGAATTTTCTCATGGAAATGTACTTGCTGATTTATTTCTCTACTAATATATATTAAAGTTACTGACAAATTTAATAACGCTACTAATATATCTTGAAAATTAACGTTAAAAAAAAAATTAAATATACAAATATATTATAAAAATAATAAATAAAATAATATTAAGTTATTTTATTCATAAATAAAATACATAGGTAAAAATACATTATATAGTATATAATATAGAAGGTATTACATAAATATGAAGGTTTGTATAATATTAAGGGCATAATGGACTTTTCAAGTAAAAATATGACTTTTGTGTTAACTAGCTCAAAGTAAAATGATTTTTGTGTAACAAAAGAAAGAAAAGTGACTTTTGTGTAATGAACACAAGTTAAATAATTTTTACGTAACCAAAAAAAAAAAAAGAAAAGTGACTTTTGGATAACAAACCCAAAAGTTCAATGACCATAAATAAAATTAAGAGATTTTTACATTCCTATGCCATATAGTAAACTATATTACCGTCCATGCTTAACTTTTAATATAATTACCTTTTATATACCTAATTACCATTTATGTATATTTTAGGGTTTAAATGGTATTAATTAGTCTCCTAATTTAACTCTACCGTATATTCTCACTCCTCCCAAGTTTCTCTCTCCAAATCCTCCCCCCTCCACCCACGTATCAAACCACATCCCACGATTTTCTCTTCAATCACCCACTATTTCCTCTTCTAAAACCAGCGAAAATCTGTAACCCCTCCACCATTGACAACCATTAAAAAACTTTGAAGCTTTGAATTCGAATTTGGGTTTTCAAAAGACATTGTTTGTTTGGATTAGATGTTGTTGCAAAGAATTGAGAATTCTCTCTACGCCTCTCTCTATCTCTCAATCCCAAATTTCAGTAATATAAAGCAAAGGAAAAGAGAGCAACAATTCCACCATTGACAACCATTAAAAAGCTTTGAAGCTTTGAATTCGAATTTGGGTTTCAAAAATCATTATTGTTTGGATTGGTGTATTGCAATAATTGGGAATATGGTTTGGAGTTTATATCTCAATTTTTGAGGGGTTTTTTGTGAAGATTAGACTTGATTTTGGCTGAATTTCAGATTGAAACTCGAAGAAGAAGAAGACATGACATACATTATATTGCAGAAATTGTAGTAAAATTGTAGAAAAATTGTATCATGTTGTTTATTTATTTTTCTTTTATTCATTTAACTATTGTATGAAAGTTGAACAACATTGTATAAAAATTATATTTAAGTTGTATGATATTGTAGTTGTATATAACTGAGTAGAAATAATGTATGAAAATTGTAGATAAGTTGTATAATATATAATTAGTTGTATGAAATTTGTTTTTACTATGTATAAATCAGATACAAAATATACAAAAGATAGAAATGAAATGAGAGTTGTCGTTTTAGGACCAAATGAAATGAGAGTTGCATAAACGTTGGTTCACTGAATTTGAACCTAGCTAGACGATGTCTATTACGTTGGAACCGTAATTTCAACTCGTTATAATAAATGAGGCCTACTCTGTAAAAGTGTTTTCTCTAAGATTATTTACATAAAGTGTTTGGAAAAATAAATGAATCTTTCATGATGTTACGTGACCATGTATACGTAAGGACGATTATATTCATGAAAAAAATTTGATGATCTAAATACGCATGAGATGATGACTATATGTGATATATAAGAATTCCTACAATTTCCAAACATGAACAAAAATCCTGGAAGCAATTTAATTTAGTTCTTCTTGGGTTTTAAAAATAACGGATTGTCCCAAGGTTTTCTGGTTGCAGGAGAAAGACTTCACCAAAGGATGGGATTTATAGTGATACAACAAAGGAAATTTAATAGAGACGAAGTCTTGATCTTTGACATAGAAACAGTTTAATGAGGTTTTGAATGTAAGTATTTCGATTATGGATAATATTTAATGTGAAGCCACAAATAATAGAAGATCGGGAGAGAAAGGGGAGAGAGGAGAAAAAAAAGGAAAATGGTGGAACTAAATCCCTTAATTGAAGGCACTAATAATGGATTGGGAGCCTTTTAAGGTGGAATGTACATATTTTGTAAACAAAGCATGTGTAGGTAGAGTAATTAGCTAAACATGGACATTAAGGGTAATAATGTTTCCAATAGTGTATAGGAATAAAAATATCCCTAAAATTAACTCACTTTTAACACATACTAAAAAAAGAGAGGAGAAAATAAAATAAATATAGGGTTAGAGAGAGTAGGGTTAGGTGGACTCTGGAAATGGCGGCACTGGTCCATTAAACTAGCGGCTCGCCTTCTGATCCATAATAATAAGGCCCAATAGCTAATAAGTACTTCCCACATTTTTAACACACTTCACTCTCTCAGCAAAAATTAGCAATCTCCGAAGATTTCAGCAATGGCGGCTTCATCAACTCTTTCTAGTTCCATCACCACCTTCAAACTTTCCCCGTGCCAACCACGCGCCTCCTCTATTACCGCCTCCGTCAAACTTCCTTCAGTTTCCTCCAATAACCCTTTCAATTCCTTAATTTCTCATTTTGGCCCAACTCCCAAAAACCCCACCGTCGCACCCCTCCGTTGTTCCGCTGCCTCCACCATACCAGAAACCACCACCACGACTGCCACAGCATTCCACGACCTCTGCTACGTCGTCGGGGACAATATCGACACTGACCAAATCATCCCCGCGGAATACCTAACCCTAGTCCCATCAAATCCAGATGAGTACAAAAAACTCGGGTCCTACGCGCTGTGCGGACTCCCTTCATCCTACCAAACCCGTTTCGTCGACCCGAATGAATTCACATCCAAGTAATCCATCATCATAGGCGGCGAAAACTTCGGGTGCGGGTCGTCACGTGAGCACGCGCCGGTTGCTTTAGGAGCTGCGGGCGTGGCGGCGGCGGTGGCGGAGTCGTACGCGAGGATATTCTTTAGGAACCCGGTTGCTACTGGCGAAGTTTATCCGCTTGAATCGGAAGTGAGAATTTGTGAGGAGTGTAAGACGGGTGATGTGGTGACTATTGAGCTAGGAGAAAGTAGCTTGATTAATCATACGACTAGAAAAGAGTATAAATTGAAGCCAATTGGTGATGCTGGTCCTGTCATTGAAGCTGGTGGCATTTTTGCTTATGCAAGAAAGGCTGGAGTGATTCCTTCCCGAGAAGCTTAGTATTTGAAGTGGTAATTGATTCAGTTCACATGTTTTCTTTTAAAGTTTTGTACTTTAGGCTTGCTGAAAACAGATGATTGCACAATAAATATGGTATTTGTTGTATTATTTGGAGAAAAAAATCAGCACCTTTAAAAAGGTGTCTTGTGTTCTGTTTTTTTTTTCATAAGTTGGTGTCTTGTGTTCTGTTTTGCCAATTTCAGTATAAATCAATGGATAAACAACATCTGAATTCCAAAATAGTTGGGTTGACTGTATGATCCTGAGAGGATACGTCTTAATTCATTAAAATTAGATTGTTTTTATGTTTACTGTCAGCTCAGCATTGTTGCGTACTTGCATCTTTGTTCGAGCTTGAGACGGCTTTGCTTTGTGACATAGTCTGTGTTATGTTTTATCAGAAGAATAAAAGGAAAGATGTAGGCTCTAGGCTGTGTTATGGTGGTTGCTGTATGATTTGGGAAAAAGATTCAGTTATCTTGAAAGGTATGTTAGTAATGTTTTCTTATGCCTATATCAGGAATCATACTTGAAATATGCTTATCACTATGGCAATTTGTACTTTGAAGAGACCCGGAGAGCTTCACTTTGCCAGATCTTTCATGTTACTAAAGTTCAAGGGTTCAACTAATTTTTGGGCTTATGCATGTCTCACACAACTCTTTCCCCGCCTTCCCCAAATTGTCTCAACAAAGAAACCTTTTTTATAAAGGCCTCAAAATTACAACTTGGTTCTATAGGAACTTAGAGTATGGTTCCTCAATAATATAACAAGAAAAATGAATCTGACTTTAACTCAATGGTTCCTCAATAATCTAACAAGGAAAATGAAACTAACTTTAACTATCTGTTGGTGATTATATTTAGGTGACAATCAGGCAAACACACCAAAAAGTAATTGTGTCTTCTGAGGAAATTAGTGACTTCCTGATGATTAATAAGGTTTGAGCTTCATCGAGGATCGTCCTTGACTAGTAAGCAAAGTTTAGATGAAACTAGAGTTCATATGAGGATCTGCCAAGTAAAATAACTGCTGACATATTATATCAAATAAAGTCAAGTTCTGTTGGCATTGGATTCTCTAGAGTAGAGCAACATTACTTGAGATGGTTTGAAAGGGGTTGGGAAATTGACTAGGATATGATTAGTGGAATTTAGTAGGGATGAGCATAAAAAATCATCGAGATAGTTCGCTATGTTCCAAATATATTCTTTTATTAATAAAAATTGGGGTAAGATCCACCGAAATGGGTAGCCTTAATCCCTTAACCGGATGTGTGTGGTAACAGGTAAAGCCCGAAGGCTGTTCCCGTCCCAATGGGGGGAGATGCCAACCGTCTCTCCTTTCTACGAACACATGTTCCAAATATAATGCTTGAATCTTCTACATTCAATTACTAGAAAGTAGCAAGATCATTTTGTTCTAGGAGACATGACAACATGAAGATTTTGATTCAGGAGTTTTTATGATATGTAATTTTATATATGGATATATCAATTCTAGCAATTTTCAAATAGATCAGGATTGCTGGATGCCTGAAATGTAGTCGGTGAATCTCTATGTATATCGATATGTATAGTGGGATCGTATTAAATAAAGAGTATGTTATTATTTTAGATTTAACCAATTTGGAAAACAAGACAGGAATTCTCTACAATTACACTGTGGAACAATTGAAGGGATGTGGCGCAGCTTGGTAGCGCGTTTGTTTTGGGTACGTATAACCCCTTTAGAGTATTGATGGAACATGATAGAACATTCATATTGCCTTGCCCTCTGAAAAAATTGAACTTTAAACAAAATTTTTTGATTCAACCATCGTGTATTAATCTACTATAACTATAGGATACTCCCCTTTCGCGAATTACTGCGTTTATCCGAGTGATCCACAAACGACGAAAATCTCTCTTTTTCCTATCCCTATCCCGATGAGCCGAAACTAAAGCTCTTATTATCATAATATATGAACAGTAAGAACTAGCATTCTTATTGAGACTATAACTCATAGGGAAGAAAATCGATTTATGGATGGAATCAAATATGCAGTATTTACAGACAAAAGTATTCGGAAAGCGAAGCCGAGCAGTTTCGAGTGAATGGATACTCCGAAATAGAACGAGAAAAATTGAATTAATCCTTAGATATGAACTTACATAGCTTGCCTAGCAATGATCGATGGACCTACATGATACACATTGTTTGTTCGTTGATTCCGTAAGGTGATTTTTCTGCTTATCCCAGGTTCGAAGTTGCAAATTTTGTATCTCTTATCCTGCACTTATTCACTCGGTTGCACCTCACAAATTGAAGACTCTAAATTGCTCGTTCTTGGCGTCCTCTCTTAGATAGTTTTCTTTTTCACCTTATGTCATATGGACTTTCCTCTCTTTTTGCTTCTCAATTAAAGCAAGTTTCGTGGACCTATAAGCATACCCTCCTCTTTTTAGACTTTATCCTCGTCTGGATGAACGGGCTATAAGTAAGTTACATCATTCGAGTATTGACTTGTCTCCAGCTATAACCGAGGCAATTTCCCAAAAGTTTGCTTGTTATCATTCCAGAGACAAAATTGGCTAGTCTCCAGTGAAATAAGGCAATATCCTTTTTGTTCATATCAGTGGATGTCCTAAAGTTTACTCATCTATATATGTTTATTGTAAAAGCTTCTTCTCCTTTCTTTTTTGGGGTACATTTATTCAAAAACCTTAGCGGTATTTGCAGCAGTAGCAGACTGGCGTTACAGCATGGAGAATCTCCCTTCGATTGGTGAAAATGGTGCTTTGTATTTTTTGTATAGATGCTAAAGATTGTCTATAATGTGCTCATATTTTACTCTTGATAGAGTCACTGTGACTTCTATACTTTTGCTTTCTCCAATAACAATAGTTTATTCTTATTTGCGTGGCTACTATGGCAAATCATTGTTGCGCCACCTTACTTGAGATTGTGTGCTTGTGATGACAAATTGGTTTCTCCTAACTCCTAAGAATCAAGAGAACTTCACCCTGCTTTTGTTTTGATTTTTGTCTTAAATTTTGTATTGCCTTATAAGTGTGTTTTGCAAGTGGGTTAGTCAGTAGTCACAACTATAGTTGCATAAAGGCAGGGATTAAAGTTGTGGCTTCCTAGCCATACTCATTTTATATTCTCCAGCTTTACTATGCAAACCTATCAATATGTTAAAGCTCGAGAATTTATCTGTTTTCCCCGTCCTCGTATAGAAACTTTTACATGAGCTAAAGTTAGAGTCCGTCCTCCATGAATATCGAGGAACCTTTATCCTGAATATTTTATTTGTTTCATAGAGAAATTAATTTTATTACCAAAGCAGGAGGTTACAGCTCAAGAAAAAGAAAAAAAACAGCACTCTGGACAACCCCAGATGTGCACTATATAAAGTCATTGCACCGTAACTCATTGTACCAGGAATACATTCAGCAACATTCCAAGAAGGGTAATACTTCAAACTGTGTAATCTCCTCTCCAGCATCTCTTTCACGCTGCCTCTTACAAATATCTCTTGAATGCTCACTCTTGATTATTACATCTGCTCGTAGTTTTGATATACCACCATATTTCTTTCTTGCCATATGTAGTAGACAGTGGCAGCCAAGGCAATCCTATAAACAGTAGCTGCTGCATTCTTTCCTCTTACATTGTCTCTGTAGTCCATACCATAGCCCTTCTTGCAATCTCCTGCCATTGTATAGCTAATTCTGACCAAGAGTGAGGCCACAGTAACATTTCTCAATTTGGCGTAATTCCTTTGCAACATGAATCATGTATGGTTTCTCTTCTCCCTTGTAACCGGTGCATTTCCTAACAAGATGCAAGTAGTGTTCCAGTAGCTGACGAATCTCTATTCCATGCTCTTCCAAAATGGTAGGATCCGCTATATCCATTACACTACCCTCTCCAATATTGGTTTCGACGTGGGAAAACTCTATAAAATCTATCATCTTGCCATCAAGTATACTTAATTTCTTTCCAGTTAATAGCTGAAAGAGAACAACTCCGAAGCTGTAGACGTCAGGTTTCTGACTAGCAATACCCGATTGCATGTATTCAGGATATAAATACCCGGAATGTCCGCACACAACACCTGCTACTTCCAGTTCCCGTTGAGGCAATGATATGGACATGGACAATGAGAAGTCCATTATTTTGGCAACGCCGCTGTTCTGATCTATTATCACATTTGATGCACTTAGGTTTCTGTAGATGATGGGCGTACTGAATTCAGTATGGAGATAAACAATTACTGAAGCGACCTCATTGGCAATCTGTAATCTACTTCCCCAAGATAATGATTTTCCATTTTGATCATGATTACCCTCTATGAAAATTAGCTCATAAAGACTTATAGCCTCAACATACTCATATACCATAACTGGGTTTTCCAATTCTAAACTGCAACCAACAAGTCTCAATACATTCTTGAGATGGCTCATTTGAGCAGTAATTGCTATATCTCGGAAAATATTATGGTGATAGTCTCCACCATAGCCCTGGAGCCACAAGCTATTTAAAATAAGGTGTTTGTTGAGCTTAACCATACAGCTTCCGAAGAGTATTATTCTCTTTTCAGGGTTCTTTATTGCCTTGTCGATTTCATTGGCGTTGAAGTAACGGAGAGGAATTCGGCAATTAGAAGTTCCTCTAGCACTGCACTTCCATTCTTTAGATAATACTGCTTTTTCTTCCGTCTTTCTGCAAAGGCAGAGGATAACAGTTTCCTTATGAGTCCGCTGATAATGTGAGGCATTTGTCTTGTCCGAAAGTAATGAATAAATTTAGAAGTTTGTTTTCTCTTCTAACACTTGATCTCTCTCGTATCCACTACTAGTCTTAATGCAGTGGGCTTAAATTCAATAAGGTACCAATTACATCATCACTAATGGATCTTATAAGGAAATTGGAAGTTTCCTGCTGGTCTTTTTCTACTCTAGCGCGTGCATTCAGTTCTACGCACAATGCCAACAAATTGCTGTCATATGGCTATTGACTTGACTCTCTTCTGAATTGCTGGGTAGTTTCATTGCCCATTGGTTAGTGTCTCTCTCTTGAATTCCCATGCACTTTCATTGACGCATTCCACCTTTCTTTTCTAGTTTAAATGCATTTAACAAACATATTACTTAATGTTACTATGATTTACGACCTAACTAGAGCTCATTTGTGACAAAAAAAAATTACGAATTGTCCTAAAGCTATGATAATAGAGAGTAGAAATTCAACAGATAAATCACTGCGAACTTTATGCAAGTAGCAATCACTAACATTGTATGCAGACATCTCATCCTGCTGAAATTCATGTTGACTGCTACTTCTCTAACTGCTCATTATAAACAATGACATATTCTGAAACTACTGAAAATAATTAGGTGCCAAATACAAAACTAACATGATCTCACTTTTTAATTGTGTAAACCAAAAATGTATAAGGTAGATTTGAATCCAAATAGGGCACACTACCAGAAAATGGGTCTATGGCAACGGATGTTTTTGCAACGGTTCAAAAACCGTTACTATAGATAGGTTATTGGAACGGTTTTAACCGTTGCAATATGACATGGGTGATACCAGCACACTTTGGCTATAAAACCGTTGCATTTAGGTAAAAACCGTTCCCATAGTGTTTATTTTTTGCAACGTTTGTTTTAACCGTTCCAATAAATACATTTATTGGAACGGATCTTGAAAAAAACTCAATCGGAGCGGTTGTTATTTCCATCCTGAAATTTTGCCCCCTAAATTTTCGTAAACCCGCGCTTTTGAACCCCTATTTTTACATTATTTTTTTAATTAATATTATTTCATAAAAAACCATTTATTTGTTCTCCAAAGTAATATGCCCTAACCTCTTTCTCCGATCCCCTTTGAGCGTACCGCCAGAACCTCCGTCCGCCAATATCTGCTATCGACCTCCGTCTCACCTGCCAATATCCCGCTGTCAACCTCCGTCAACACTAGCAGAACCTCAATTGTCTTTTTCCTCCACCTATAAACTTTATCTCCTCCACCAGAAACAGCAACTATTCAATTAATCAAAGCTCTGTGGTTTCAAATAGTCCCAAAATTCTAGGGTTTTTTCTCGATTAAGCTCGACTACAACTCCTTTTTCTCACTGAGCCTTGATTCTAGGTTTTCGCTCGACTCTCGCCAATTTTCTGATTTATTTTGCATGCTCTTCTTTTATTCCTTTTGTAATTCTCAATAGTTGAGTCGCAACTTGCAGATTCCATTAGCGAGGATGAAAATGCAACTGATAGCTGTGGGATAAATAATTGTAAGTTTACTTAAACTCTTTTTAATATAAACCGTTGTGATTTTGGATGAAAATTTCAGTTTTAATGTTCCTTTTTACTCGATTCAGTGATTTTATTTTATTTTTGGGAGTAACTGAGTGATGTAGTGTGATTGAATGGAGATTCAAATCCATATGATACAAGCATTAAAACCTATTTACTCGGACTTAACAATTACTGGAACTTGGGGTTTTTGGTTTTTATGGATTTTCTTAGTTATCATTTTCATGTAAAATTTTTGTGTTATGAGGCTTTTTTTGTTGCATATTTGTCTCTATGTATATGAAAAGAAATTACGCCAACAGAGGGAACTCTGCCATGCGGCTTTCACGAAAGATAGAAATAGCAACATAATCACAGTTTCTCCCATATAATTACTACACCGCAGAGCAGAAGGGATCAGGTTCTTCTATATAGTCATCCATGCTCTAAATGACCAGAACACAAGTCACCTTAAGAAGCACATCAATTGCAACAAATGTTGATTACTGGAATGCAGCTCTGTTTTCTTCTACACAATAGAATGCATGCTAACAAGCTAGTGTTATTTGAGACAGCTTGGTCTCAGATTAGGCCAACTCCATTTACCTATTTTTTGTTGTTGTTGGTTTTGCTAACCAATATAGTGTTTTCTTTTCAGACTCTGAAAAATATTTGAATAGTCATGAATCAAGAAGGGCGCTCAAGCAAAAATAAGAAAATATGCAACCGTATTCCAGCTGGATCACTTGCATCTTTGTGAAATCAAAGGGTTTCGTCGTTGACAACATAAAGAACCTTTCAAGCTACAAGGTCAAATGAAAATGAAGAACGACAATCAGAAGCTGGATTACCTCTATCTTTGCGAACCCAAAAGGTTTCGTCGTTGACAACAAAAAGAGTCTTGAATATAAGGTCAAATGCAAATGAAGAACAACAATCAGAATTAGGATCTCAATTGCAAGAACAGGTGCAGCAAGTGCCACGGAATTCAGCGTCTAAACCCAGAATTGCGACTTGATCCTGACATGCTAAGGTTCGTATAAGCTTCCTCTGCACACCAAGCTGCCGTTCAACTAAAAAATCGACCATATGCTGGTAGTAACAATCAAGGTCAGTACTTACCAAATGTTATACATCTTCTTCTATTTCTTCTTTTTCTCCTCCTTCCTTGTGCTTCTTCTTTTACCACTTCTCTCTCTCGCAAAGTCTAACTAGTTTTTTTACTTTGCCTATGGCACTTAGTCACGAAAAGGAAAGAAATGAAAAGAGAATACCTAACATTTGGAATAGTCGCCAAATGTATGGCCTGTGCCTTGTGGTATTTGGCACTTGATAGTGATATTTTTTGTGTTGTAGACTGCCTTGTTGGCTTGTTAGTTGTTTCCATTAAGTTTATTTGTTGTGCTGCTCTTTATATGTTGGCAATGGTATTTGTTAACTGGTAGTGGTATTAAGTATTTGTTGTGCTGCTCTTTATATGTTGGAAGTAACATGATTTGAAAGGAGTGATGTCTACTGGACTAGTAGCAGGAAACAAGGAGGAAGAAGGGATTATATTATTGTTAGCAGAAGATGATGATGCATTTAATCCAGCACCTTTGTCACCTTGTCCAACAGTAGCATCATTTGAGAATATTGTGATGAATTCTCCAACAGCTTTTGGTGATGCAAATGGACTATCTGGTAGATTCTTAATGGCTTCTTGAATCTCTTCTGCCCGTCTGCTCTTTTCTTCTGCTATCATCAATTCATTACCATGATGTTATCATAGCTGCTGGTACTTTTGCTAAAGGAGCTTCATATTTTGGATATGCTCCTGGAACAGCACGAGGTATTGCGCCACGAGCTAGGATAGCTGTGTATAAGTTTAGCTTCGAAGAAGGAACTTTTTCTTCTGATTTGGTTGCTGCTATGGACCAAGCTGTTGCAGATGGTGTCGACATTCTGACCATTTCTTATGGGTGGTCTAACATTCCATTGTATAAAGATTACAGGATTTAGCTTATTTCTCTATGATTGTGTTTCTTGTATGTCCTAATTGCTGTAACTGATGAAGTGTTTGGCCTGTTACATCGAAATGTATCCAAATTTCCATCTAGTAACTGCTGCCTCGATCCTAAGTACCTGTGCATTCTGTGTGTCATGTGTATTGTCCATCATTGCTGGGTTCTTGACTGTTGTTAAGGCAATTAGAAGTTGAGCATGATGCTCAAAATCTATCATAGTATCACAATTGCCCAGCAAACTCCTATACTCGGTCAATTTTTATGTTGTGCGAATCTTGCTTGCATCTGCCCTTAGTTGTGACTTGTCCTTGTTGTCTCTCATTTTTCTTGAGTTCCAGTGAGTGTGGAAGGATATAGGTGTGTATGACTATTGATTGCAGCCTCCATCTCAAAAAAGAAAACGATGTTAAGGACATTTTAGCTGTGGCCTTGAATTCTGTCCAAAGTGTGATGTACTTGTTTTTCTTTCAAGCTATGGCTTAGTTTATCTTGAAGAGTAATGACTTTATTTATCCTCTTTTGTAGGTGGAGTAAATCAAGAAATCGAAGAAGATGATGAAAGTGAAGAACTAGACCTTACTTGAGATTGAATTTTGAATGGCTATAGATGAATGTTCTATAGGAATCTTTTGTTATCAACCTTTTTGAAACTAATTACTCTCTTGAAATGTATTATACTTATGCATTTGGGGTAGAACATTTGCTTTATATGAATACTATTTGCTTGATGGATAATTTGTATTATTAAAAGTTTGATTTTATGATTTATAAAATTTTTAGTGTTGTTATAATTTATTTTATATATACATAAATATTTATTTATTACAGGGGCTATATTTTTGTGTCAACTGAACTGTTCCCACAGAAAACTAAAACCGTTGCGATAGGTCATATAAACCGTTCCATAATGAAATATTAACTGTTCCCACAGAAACCAAAACCGTTGCGATAGGTCATATAAACCGTTCCATAATAAAATATTAACTGTTCCCACAGAAACCAAAACCGTTGCAATAGGGATAAAGGAACCGTTGTTATATTCATATATACCCGTAACAATAGCTTACAAAAGTGTTGCATTAGATAATATGGTAACGGTTAAGAACCGTTCCATTTGGAAAATATAACCGTTCCAACAGAGAAAAAGAAAACCGTTGCGATAAATGCATCTATAACCACGGAGATGCAAACCGTTGCACGAACCGTTCCCGTAGACCTATTGCCACGAGGGCTGATGGAACGGTCCGTAAACTGTTCCCATATCCATATGGCAACGGTTAAGCAGTCTATGGGCGTAGGACGATTTTTCAGTAGTGGCAAAAGAAAGCATTCACCTCATTGCATTTAATTTTGACTGATGGTATTCACGGAAGCAGTTCTCAATTCGGCGTAATTCCTTGGCAACTTGAATCGTATATGGTCGATCTTCTCCCTTTGACGCAGTACATTTCCTAACAAGATCCAAATAGTCTTGCTAGTGTTGTCGAATCTCAATTCCATGCTCTTGTAGAATGGCAGGATATCTATTGCACTGCCCTCTTTAATATAACGTTGGAATCGAGATTCGTCAGTAACTGTACCTATAAGGCTATAATATCTATTATCTCGCGCCCGCCTTTTCCAATTAATAGCTGGAAGAGAAGAATCCCTAAGCTGTAGACGTCAGCTTTTTGAGTAACAAAACAATACACGAGAGGTGATATTCAGTTTCTAAAATATTATTTTTCAATAATAATTATTTTTATAATAATGTAATTGAAAATATTATTCTTAATTCAGAACTCATTTTAGTTGGCTATCTAAAAATATAAAAAAATTCTTTAGCTAGTGAATTTTTTTTTTACTCCATTTTGATATTTGATATTAACCATGTTAAATATCTGAGTTATTTGAATTATGTGTAAATAACATTAACATTTAAACATTCTAAATATTATAGATAATCGTCAGATATTAATTAAGAAACACTACATGAAAAAAAACTAACACTTTCTCAATTCTCGTAGTGATACTTCTATTTTTGCACTATTCTCATAGGTGTCATTGGAACCTAAAAATAGCCACAAAGTGAAATAATAACTCATATTTATGGCAAAGCACAAAGGTTGACACGATATAAACGATTCTTTGATTACGACGTGACTCTTATACTACGACTCGAACTCTTATTTTGTATGATTTTATCTTTCAAAAAATATTTCTATTTTGAAACTTCAATTTCTAAAACTTTATATATATTATAATAATAATTATCTTTATAATGATGCAAGTGAAGATATTATCCTTAATTTAAAATTCACTTTAATCGGCTATCTAAAAATTTAAATAATTCTTTGGCTGGATTATTTAAGTATGACTCCACTTTAAGTTTATCAATATCTCTAGCTCCAGAATTTAAATTTTTAATACCCTATATATACAAAAATTTTGTTTTTTGAATCATTAAATGTTAAATTAGTTGATTATTATTATTAAATATTGTATATATTGTCTTAAAATTGTCAAGTAGTTTAATTTTCGACACCATACTTGGCTTAAACTCAATGCAAACTACTCAAATTGCATTCCAATTCAAATTCGAATATCATATCAGTTTGTTAGTAATAGTGATTTTTTAAAAACGTCACATAATGTAAATATTCTAAGATATCCTTATCTTATAATCTATGTATTTGAGTTGAAAAAAATATATTTGAAATCGATTAGGTTAACTTAAAAATTTTTAAACAAAGATGAAACATAAGAAGAAATTTATTGTCATCTTTTATTTCTCGTTTTTTAGATCTTTCTAATATTTTTTTCAATATTTATTTTCTTTTATCTTATTTGTTATGTCATTATTTATTTTCTTACAAAAAATTAATTTATTTCACTATAAAAGGATGAGTTTTAATAAAAATTGTCTACATATGAACTTTAATTATATTTTTAGTCTTTGGTTGAAATTATTTCATATTTTTCTTTTGGCTTTATCTAATCAGCCTAAATAGGTGCTCACCCGACCACTTAAATTAAAAAATTGAATGATGTGTAATTTATATATAATTCATATATAATATGTGTATAATCGTGTGTTATCGGTATATCATCTATTTATATTAGCTATAAAAAATAACCAATAAATATGGCCGAATATTATGTAAATATTCCATAAGATCTCAGTTTTTTGAGTTTATCCATGATATAACTTCTATTATAATAATTTTAAAACTCTCTACTATTGTTCAAAAATATCTTATCTTTTTATTATCTTTGAAGTAAAAAAGTAAAGATTTTTTCGAAATAATTTGTTTACATTTAAAAAAAAAATCACGTCATACCATGTTTTTCTTTATATATACTCTTTGTTACACTTAAAAGTCGCTATAGAAACTATCAATTAGAAACCAATTTCTCTCTTGTAGAGTTTGAAAAAAAAAAACTTTCACATAATCTAATGATTCAAAACTAATATTCTTCAACGTAAAAAATATTATACCCTTGCAATATTGGCTTGACTACAGCTAAATGAAGGGGTTTCAGCTTATATCCTTCAATTCCTTGAATGTGCTAAATTGAAATTAATGATAGCAATTGTATAGCCAAAATTTTGTTATTTGTTTGATGTCCATTTATGCAAATTGACTCTTCAAACAAATATTCCTCAAGAAGGAAAAAGAAACAACTTTTTTTAATATTGACTGATTTTGTGATTTTTTTAATACTAACATGATTGCATATGATCATTAACCGAATTAAGTATGATAATATGATAAAAAAAGATAAATTATATTTTTAATTTAAATTTGAACTTTAGCTATAAATTTAAAATTATCTTTTAATATATATATATATATATATATATAATAGTCAAATATAAAATAAAGTTACCATATACTATTAATATGTATTAGCTTGCCACTTGGCTTAACCATAATGCCAATTATATATGGTAACTTTCTTGCTTTAATATATATATATATATATTATTGTATTTTCTAAATTTGACTGCATTTTTAAAAAATTATGTTATGTTTTCAAACTTAAACTAACTGTACTCAATTCAAATATTAATCACAAAAAAATATTTTCTTATTTGTTTGA